TCTTGGCACTGGGAACATGAACTTGTCCAGCACAATCAAGTCCCCACAATTAAAATGGACAAGAGATTGTAATGACTTAACACCCCTTAAAATAACATTTGCTGTGGCACTCTTCCAGAATTTGCTAAGGACGGCTTTATCACTTGCTGGCGGGAACACTGTCCCAGAAAACTTGTTAACAAGAAACATGTTTTCCTCTCTCAAACACACAGCACAAAATAATAACCAGATTAAATACTATATGAAATGCCAAGGTGCTTAAATACGATTTTCTATGTATTTAAAAGTGGAAGTGTTAGTCGCTCAGTCGTGTCCGACTCTGTGACCTCTTGGGTTGTGGCCCACCAGGCTCTTCTTTGGGCTCTGTATCCATGGGATTCTCCAGGAAAGAACACTGAAGTGGGTTGCCGTTCCCTTCTCCAGGGGATCTTCCCGACCCGGAGGTGGGACCAGAATCTCTTACATCTCCTGCTTTGGCTGGCAGGTTCTTTACCACTAGCGCCACCTGGAAAACCCCATGTATTTAAAAGCCACACACAATAATGACTCCTTTCAACTGGAAAATATTTATCTATCACAAAGCACATTGTTTATCATCTTTAGTTTAGGCCCTTTTAGTCTAGGAATGTTCCTTTGTTATCTCAGCTTAAATATAAAATATGGCTTCCCTGGTGCCCCAGATGGTAAAGAATCTGCCTGCAATACAAGAGACCCAGGTTAGATCCCTGGGTTGGGAAGATCCCCTGGGGAAGGGAATGGTTACCCATCCCGGTATTCCTGCCTGGAGAATTCCATGGACAGAGGAACCTTGTGGACTGTGGTCCATGGGATCGCAAAGAGTAGGACAAGACTAAGCAACTAACACTAATACACATGGAAAAAAGATGAAGGAAGATACTCAAAGATGGAAATAGTGGCCATCTCTCTAGGGGCTGGAATTCTAGATGACAGTGTTTTTTTCTGTAAAATTTTTGATACCTTCTAAATTTTCTTTAAAAGAAACATATTGAAATATGTTTCAATAATGATACATAAGAGCTACATCATTGGGAGGGGGGACCGGGATGGGGAATACATGTAAAAAAAAAAAAAAAAAAAGATACACTATGGTTGTGATAAAAAATAAATAAATAAATAAATAAATTTAAAAAAAAAAGAGCTACATCATTATTATAAAGCTACAAAAATCAGTATATATAATAACTATGAACATATAATATTATCACAATTTGAGAGGACACACAAAATTTTGTGGTAGCAGTTATAACTTAAGTGGTAAGACTGGGTAATACTTTTGCTTTTCACAAGTACATATTACTTTTGTGATTAAAAAAGACTAATCTCATCAAGAGAAAGAGTATGTTAGAAAGAAATTGTAAAATGTTGGGGTAATTCATGGACTTTAGAAGGCGGAGAGGTAAACACACTGAGGGAAGAATATCACCAAAGCTGTTATGGTAAAGTTGCTGCTGCTGCTAAGTCACTTCAGTCGTGTCCTACTCTGTGCGACCCCATAGACGGCAGCCCACCAGGCTTCCCCGTCCCTAGGATTTTCCAGGCAAGAATACTGGAGTGCGTCGCCATTTCCTTCTCCAATTCATGGAAGTGAAAAGTGTAAGTGAAGTTGCTCAGTCTTGTCTGACTCTTAGCGACCCCATGGACTGCAGCCCACCAGGCTCCTCTGTCCATGGGATTTTCCAGGCAAGAGTATTGGAGTGGGGTGCCATTGCCTTCTCCGTTATGGTAAAGATAATTTATCAAATACCTTTAGGGCACAATTTCGACTCTATACATCTCCCTTTCTTTGCCCATAAAAATATATCCATTATTAAATCTGAAGTCCTTAAAACAGGCTCTGTGAGATCGTGTGCATCACATGTCTTAAATTCTGTTCCTCAGGACGTCACGGAAATATGCTGTTAAGATGCTCACAAACGTCACGGAAATATGCTGTTAAGATGCTCACACTCCCCCAGGGTGGTCAGATGTGTCAGTCAAACACTTTAAATAGATTTGATTGCAGGTTTGGAAAGGCTACTTTGTTCCACTGTATTTAAAGGTGCTGCTAAACGTTTTCATTTTTCTTTTTCCTACTCTGTAGTCATTTTATCTTTGGTTTTTTTAGTCCATTCAACTTTTGGTCTTACAGTGCCACTACACCTGAGGACTCAAGTTCTTAACGATTGTCACAAAAAACAAAACATACATTTTCAAAGAAACTTACTCAACTCCATCCTCAAGCATTTATATTGCAAATGCAACATGACAAATGATGTTTTAGTTGCAAGAGTCTATTAAAATAACTGGAGACATCCTAGGGTCACTTAGTGGGTATATAGGGGTCATATTCAAGATAAGTAAAAACCATTTATGGTAGCATAAATTCTGAAATTCACACGGCTGCACTCATCCCCAGGTATTTTTACCTATGACAATATCATAATGGTTCTTGTCTAATTCTAATCATTTTTACTCCTGGTTAAATCTTCCCGAAGCCTTTTCTGTACCCTTTTTCTTGCACCTTCAAATGAAAGGCACTGAAGGACCTCTGAGCAGAGAAAGCACATTTTCAAACTGACTTTGTTTCAAAAGCCTGGGTTAGTCCTTGGAAGCTTAACCACTATGTTTGCATATGCTTGGGGACAACAAGTTGTTTACCCTTTGGAGGCAGATGCTAGTTTGAAAATGGATAACCAACCCCCCCCCCCCCCCCGCCACCCACGACTAAGGTTCTTAATCTTACTTCTTGTTCAACAGAACAGTAGATAAGAAAGCATTTGTGAGAAAGAAGCAGTTTTAGGAAATCTTCCTCTAGTAATTGAAGAGGATAGTAACTGGCTGTGGGTGGCAGGAGGGCAGATACAAGTCCGGAGTGCACGCGGTTTTATAATCACGAACATAGTGTAAAGATAATGCCTAATGGACGATCTCCTTGAATTGTCTCCAGGGCCATAATATGTCATCCATGACATAAAGAATGAGAGACTCCTTGGAGACAGACCATATTGGAAATATAACTAGACCACTAGATGACTCCACCCTCACATCCGTCCACCCTATCAAACAGATATGGGCAGAATTTGGCGAGATAATAAGCAGTCTTCAGTCGCAGGCTATCTGAATCTCTGCAGTGATTTATGTCACGGGAGCAGGGCAAAGCCCGGCTCTCCTCTCTCTCAGCCAGCTGGGGTGGACCAGATGACCAGGTTCTGGCACAAACGCAAGAGCTGTGAATCTAAATTTCCCAGACGTGTTATGAAATGAAGTCAGACTTGCTTGAACTGATGATAAAAAGAAAAAAAATCTTTCTTCTCCTGAGATGGAAGCTCAGCCTTTCAGTTTCAAAGAACTGCAAGCACAGTCATCACACAGACCGAGAAGTTTCGAATTCTCCTCTAGTTGTACTGATAATAGGACTCCTTATCAATTTTCCCAAGCCCTTAATAAAAATGAAAATGAGGCATTTTATAGTCCAGATATTAGAAGAGATCTAATACTGGGTAAGAAGCTGCTGCCTTAGCCAATGATATCTGTACATTTAAGACATAATTTTAAGCTTCCACATAAAAACGTAATTGTTGAGAATTGTCCTCTAAGTAGGATTCTTAGAACTAGGTCACTATCCACTTGATTGAACTGGAAGATTTCCTTTCTTGTGCAAATATTTTAAACCTGATTAATATTAACATAAAGAATAACATCTAAAAACATTATTTCCTGATCTGGACAACAAAGAGACACTATAGTTGTCTCTTTATTCAACAGGAAACCTATTTGATAGATAACTTATCTGGGAATATTTTTAAAGAATAGTATTGATAGGGGAACTGAGTGATACTATGTACATAGACCTCTGTGCTAGTAAAAGTTGGCTTGTTCCCATGGGAAAAAAGTTTAAATAATTTAACCTAGAACCAGGGTTAAACCTTAATAAAAAGTTTATTCTTACTTTGTAAAGAAATCTTCCTTCCATGGATACAAAAATGTTCACTGCAGATTTGCATGGTAAGAAATAATCTAAATTATATTGACTTGGGTGTTGGTAATGGAAACAATAGTAGACAGCTGAGGACTAAACCTTAGTATAGAATTCATAGTAAGTTCTAGTCATAATGACTTCCATCATACTGAATATACTGAAATATATGGAATATTTCAAAACAGCAGAAAATAAGCAGAAAGAGAAGCTAGATTTCTGGAACATGTTAATAAGAGAGAAAAAAAAATGGTTACTTTATGCTTTTTAAATTTCCAGGTATCTTTCAGGACCTGGCTCTTTTACAAACTGGGGTGAATGATGATAATTATTTCTACTGAATGAAGATGAGTATTCCATTGAGATTTCAAATGTAAAAAGCAGCAAAAGGAAGCAAGCCTAAGACCCTCTCAGAGGCTAGCACTTTCACACGACCCTTCCATGGAGACCAGACGATGCTGATACTAAACATAATGGGATATCGTTCAGTGAAAGGAGAGATTCAGGGACTCAAAGACAACCCATCTCAAAGTGAGGCTTGCTTTCACTAGTATTTCCACAGGATGGAACCAAATAAAAATAGTCCTTTTCTCTCCCTTTTGTTTATGAACCTGAATGACTGGTTTCATCTAGGTTATCACTGTTCTCCTTTCACGATGACTCTCATAAAAAAAGATTTCCTTTTCAACAATAGCATTTGGTTTCCCTTCTGTATGTTTTCGCTTACCAAAAAAAAAAAAAAAAAAAAAACCAGTTAAGATTCACCAATTCCTATAAAGACAACACCCTAAATAACTGAGTTCTATGTCTAAATGAAAACTATTTCTAGAGGAAATAGTTCCTCTCTGAGGAACACTTTATTTATTTTTAATGATTTCCACTTGCAGCACTGAAGCAGCTCTTAGTTAAAACTAAATTTGCCAACATTCTAGTAGGAGATATTGATGACCTCATTATTTATTTCATGATAGAATTCACAATTTAAAAACAAGAGAAAATGAAAATTCAGTATTGTAGAAATTACCTCATCTGATCCTTTCTTTTCTCCTGACTTGGAAGACGATCCACTGGTTTTTCCACTGACATGCTGTAAAAATATTAAAAGAGATAACATTTAATAGAGGGAGGTGATACAAGATAATATAATAGTGACTTTAATCCCAAAGGGCTAAATATACAGACTATAAAAACAAGGACACCTTTAATCTTCCTCCTGAGACCTGTTAATAATTCTCCATTGACATAGGTGACCTTCAAAAATAAAGGGAAGCTACAGACATTTATTTGGGATGCAGAAAGTAAGTCTATAATTAACCAGACATAGATCTGATGGTGGTGCCAAGGTGGCATCTTGTCTCCTACAAAATGCCTCCTGGAATTTCAAAGCCCAAATTGCCAGCATAGGCGACATCTGGTTCCTCATGGAAATGAGATGTCTGAGGACCATGTTGAGCCGAAGCCATTACTTAAGCCTCAGTTCAGCATGAACTCAAGGGAGAAAATTCTCTGGAGTTCTGTCTGTCTGTCTATTTACCAACACAGAAAGATAAAGCCTGCATTGGGAAGACCAGACCTGCACCTCTCATTACCTGTGGCTTTAGAATTTCATTATGTTCTGAATCAGAATTGTTTTTCTCACTAGGACACTGGTGATGAATGGATGTATTTTTGCATGCATGTTACATTGCTTCAGTCATGTCTGACTCTTTGCAACCCCATGGACCGCAGCCCACCAGGCTCCTCTGTCCATGGAATTCTCCAGGCAAGAACACTGGAGTGGGTTGCCATGCCCTCCTCCAGGGGATCTTCCCAATTCAGGGAGCAAATTCGCATCTTTCTCTGATTATCTCCTGCATTGGCAAGGAAGTATTTTTATGTGGTATATAAAAGCTTCAAGTAGTTTACATGCTATTTGGTTTGATAAGATAAAAGAAGCCATGCAGATTATTGAATTTTTCAAAAAAATATTTATTTTATTTATTTTTGGTGGCATTGGGTCTCAGGTGAGGTGTGTGGCCTTGCTAGTTGCTGGGGTGGGGCTTAGTTGCATACAGGATCTTAGTTCCCCCATCAGGGATCAAACTCTCACCCCCCCACACTGGAAGCCAGACTCCCAACCACTGGACCAACAGGGGAGTTCACATTCTTGAATTTTTTTTGAGAAATGAAAATATTTTATGTTTCTGAAAATTAGGGACAAAGAATTGCTTTATTTCTTGTACAAGTGGGATATGCAAGAAAGTGGGAAAAGGAACCTAAATATAAGAAAATGAAAAGCTCACTATTGGGTCTTAGCCCAATAATCTTTAGTTAAATTGAAACATAAAACCCCATCATGTTCCGTACAGTGGAATCAAACCTGGATATGCAGGTCACTTAAGTTATTCAAATGAAAAAGAATGACAATAATAGCAAAAATAATAATAATGTTTACCAGTTTTTGTTACTTACAAGGCACTTTCATATACATTTTTATCTGATACAAAAAAAGACACTCATGTGATTTCATGGATTAAAATAACTAAGAATAAAAGTCATGTGATGTGCTTTTCACAAAGACATACACCTAGTAAATGAGAAAAGCTTGCAAAGCCGGTTTTCTGACTGTAAATCTATTGTCTCTATGCTATGATAAGAGCTTCCCCAGTGGCTCAGTCGGTAGAGAATCTGCCTGCAATGGAGGAGACCTGGGTTTGATCCCTGGGTTGGAAAGATGCCCTGGAGAAAGAAATGGCAACCCACTCCAGTATCCTTGCTTGGAAAATCCCATGGACAGAGGATCCTGGTGGGCTGCAGTCCATGGGATCACAAGAGTCAGACATGACTTAGTAACTACACTGCACATACTACGATAAATGAAACAAGTGAATATTTCTTTAAATCATATCAACAGATATTTTTGTAAAATAAAAAGGCTAAGCAATATTAGACATGTGGGTGAAATCTTTCGGTAGTTCTTGTATAAAAACTAGAAAGAAATCACTTTCACGAATGGAAAACTTTTCCCCAAACAGAAACCTCTCATGAGTTTCTGCCCACAGAAAAGCAGGCAGACAGCAGGCGCTTGGTGAATGAAGCTCTCGACAGGGTTTGTTTCACCCAGATGACCTAGTCAAGAGTTTGTCCACCCCTTGAGAAGGAAATGGCAACCCACTCCAGTATTCCTGCCTGGGAAACTTCATGGACAGAGGAGATGGTGGTGGTTTAGTCACTAAGCTGTGTCCTGCTTATGCGACCCCATGGACTATAGCCCACCAGGCTCCTCTGTCCATGGGATTCTCCAGGCAATGCTGGAGCAGGTTGCCATTTCCTTCTCCAGGGGATCTTCCTGACCCAGGACTTGAACCCGGGTCTCCTGCATTGCAGGCAGATTATTTACCGACTGAGCTATGAGGGAAGCATGGACAGAGGAGCATGGCGGGCTATAGTCCAAGGGGTCACAAAAGAGTTGAACACAGCCTAGCAATAACAACAATGTTCATGCTTACATTTATAGCATTATTTACAATTGCCAAGACACGGAAGCAACCTGTATCCATCAACAGATGATGAATAAAGAAGATGTGATGTGTGTAAAAGAAAAAAAAAAGAGTTTGTCCATAGTTGAGAGCAGTAGGTATTGAGTAATTAATGAATCTTGAAAAAACAAGAGCCATTTAAAAGCCCACATATATATGTCAGAGCTAGATGGCAATTGATAAGTTTTAAGAATAACTGGTGACCAAAAGGGAAGAATTATTCAATGTTTGGAGACAGAATTTGAGAGGGATGGGTCTACATGACACAAATGTATTCAAATTGTCTCCTTTCAGAACTGGTAAATTTAGAACCATGATATCACATTCATTTCTTACCACCAATAGGTAATATCTAGTACCAACAATATCCACTGTTTAAACACACTGAACATACTGCCTCATTTACTTTTAGGAAGTATGATTACTCCATGTAAGAAATGTGCTTACTGGCTCAGTAGTGTCCGACTCTTTGTGACCACATGGACTGTAGGCCACCAGGCTCCTCTCGCCATGGGATTCTTCAGGCAAGAATACTGGAGTGGGTTGCCATTTCCTCCTCCAGGGGATCTTTCCAACCCAAGGACTGAACCCACGTCTCTTGAGTCTTCTGCATTGGCAGGCGGATTCTTTGCCACTAGCACCACCTGTAAAGTCCCATTTTAGAAATGAGAATACAGACAGGCAACTCGCTCTTGTCTTGGGCAAGCCTCCATGCTCTCCGCAAGGTCCCATTTTGCTTCACGCTCGGGTGGCAAACATATATTATGATTTACCCTATGGTAAACATGCAGACAGCCTTTTCTCTTTAAAGCAAAGGTAGATAGATATCTTACTATAAAATGTTTATGAAGTTGATTCCCTGCTGTTTCAAAATTGCAGTCCCCCAGATTAACCAACATCATCAGTTATTTGCTTCCACTGAAATGCTCAAAATCCCTAACAGTTACGTAGTTTCCAAATAATAGTTTGAGAGGGAGATGTATATGTATATGTGTGTGTATATATATATATATATGTGTGTATATATATTATATATAGCAAATACTTTTTTTTTTTGCTTAAAGTGTCTATTATAAATAAGTTTTACAAAATGAAATTTTAAAAAAGCATTTGCTTTTTTAAATTGCAATGACAAATTATAAAAATTATGTACTATAAGAATTGGTGTTTTTTAACTTCAAAAGAAATATTTGCTCTCAATAAAGTAAGTGTAATAATATAAATAAAAATCACATTTTTTAGGAACTATAAGGATTATATTTTCCCAGTTTTTTTAACCTGGCTTTTTATTATAAAAATTTTCTAACATACAGAAAAGTTGAAGGAAAAATACAACGAATATCCATAGTTCCACCACTTAGAGTCAACAACTATTAACAACTGTTACCATATAATGGACAGATACATAATCTACATATATTTGTATATGTACCAGCATTTGAACATAAATTGTAGACATCCTGAGACTTTACTCCTAAACATTTTATCAAGCATGTTCTTAAATTGAGGACTTTTTCCTCTGTAACTACAATACATCCTCACTCTAACAAAACTCTAAGAGAATTAATAAGAATGACCTAATGCCATTCAATTTCCAGTAAATAACAACTTCATAAATGAAGTGTTGCCTTGCATTCCTTGGAGCTTATTCAACATTCAGTAGCTTATGCTGTGCTGTGCTTGGTCACTCAATCAGTTAAGTCTTTTCATGGAGAGAGACTCAAAGGGCATGATTTCTAAATTCATGGAATACCTGTGTACTTTCCATATACTTTCCATTTCACTGGTGAAATAAATGTTTGGACATTATATAATTCAGATGTGATCCAGCTTAGGAACCCACAGCAAGCGTCTCAAAGAGTGAAGAAAGAAATCTTTGTCTATTATCACTACATGTAGTTGATGGGTTGGGATGAGGTGAGAGAAACATAGAAAAGGGAAGGAGTCAGGAACTGAACCACAAACCTGAAATATCCAGGAAGGACTTTTCTGTAAGAGTGGAAAGAAACTCACACGTTCTAAGCATCTCCTTTGTGAGCCCAGTGCTGGGCATTTCCTCTCTGTGGTCTCCCTGACTGACATCACAGTAAAAAACTCTAGGGACACAACTGACAGCTCATTTTATTGATAAAGAAATAGGATGTGAAATGTGAGGTCCTCCTCAGTCACACATGTCAGCTACATGTGTGGGTTACAGTCTGGAGGCCAGAGATTGGGCTAGTTAACAGCTAGCTGAAAATTTCTGATGCCCATCAAGAAAGTCTTAATCTAATGCGCTAAAAGGAAAACAAAGCAAAAAATCAACAAAACCCAGATAAAACCTTCCTATTCTAAAACTGTTCTTTTTTTTTTTTTTATGAAATTAATCAGACACACAACAGCAAAGTGTCATCCTGTTTTAGGATGTTTTAGGAGCTGGACACGAGCAAAGACAGGAAGTGCAGGATGTCAGCCCTAAAGCAGGAGACATTTCATTAGGAGGCTAAGGCCCTGGAAGCCAGCAGCTAAGATGAAAACACATAAAAGAACAAGAGTGACAGGAGTTCAGAGGCAGAGAAAATATCAGATA